GGTTCTAGAGTTTTCTTGCCGGAAAAACACGGCACAGCCAAAACAGAGTAAAGATCTAAATAAAAACGAAACATGAAGAAATCTAAAGAAGCAAAATAAATTCTTGAACCCTAGCACGTCGTTCAACCTCTGGCGGTGGTTCAGGAGGAGGCCGGATCATCGCTATGATTGTTAACGCGGAGTGGATCGAAGCATCAACCAATCGGAGTCGATTCCTCTTGCCCCGCCTCCCATCGTCGTGCTCTCTTCCCAGCCATCTACGACAGAGCATCTACCCTTCTCGATTAGCCCTCTTGTCCGTCACTGCTCTCCTAAAATTTAATAAAAAGGATTTAATATAAACTAACACATGATAACTGTTAATTGTATCTGTGAATAATTTTCTTAACAAATGCTTCGGGGACGAAGCATTCTTTTAAGGAGGGTAGAATGTGACACCCCGAAAATTTAATAAAGTATTTAATATAAACTAACACATGATAATTGTTAATTGTATGGGTGGATAATTTTCTTAACATATGCTTCGGGGACGAAGCATCTTTTAAGGAGGGTAGAATGTGACACCCCGAAAATTTAAAATATATATATATATATAAATTATATCAGTCAGATAAAATGTTACGAAAGTGACATTTTAATAGTTAAGTGAATCAGATAAAATGTTAACATCGGTGACATTTTAATCAGATAAAATTGTTTTAATAATAAAAGTGACATTTTTATAATAAATATATTGACCAGACTGGACTTTGACTTAAATAGCAAAAAATGACATTTTCATTACAAGTGATAATAATATGTATGGTATAAATAATAAAAGTGACATTTTTAACAATTTTAATTAAAGATATCAGTTAATAAAAATTGGTATAGAAATAGCAAAGTTGACTTTTGAACCTAACCATAATAATATATGTACATTATCATACTTACTCAGTTACTCTCACGGTACGAGAACACTCAGCTCATAGGTGACCTACCTTCTTATTAACACTCCCATGTGAATGTCATATGCCACATACACCATACGTGTTCATGCATCACATATTCACATGTCCTTGTCCTCTACGTGCAACTGTGTTGCCCTCCTAATAATACATGCACCGAATGTAAATATAATACTTCGTACTATGGAATTCTAATACATATAATATAGACGAACAATATAATACATCAGACATCAAAACAAACGTACTCTGACATAAGGTTATAACACATGTGATAAGATTTGGAAGCTCATGAAACTCTAGAGCCAAGAAGCATATATCGGCTAAGGGTATATAAATGCCACTTAAGATCCCTACTTACTGGAATTATACACATATACTTCACCTTATATACGCCATCTCAACTCTGCCAAACAAACAAAATACTCCATAGCGTACCGTTGTAGAATTGAACGGCCGAACCTCCGTTGTGGGCGCCGGCGAACGAAGGCCACCGATGGGAGTCACCGGACTATGTCGCTAGGTCTCTGTGAACCGCTGAGGAAGTTCTGATCTTGCTGCCAGACCTCTACGCCGGGTCACTAATTCGCCGACTGCTGTGTTCTTGCAACAAGCAACAAGGGAGGGAGAGCTGCAGCTGATCGCTCGCATTGACCAGGCATATAATTTGTCACGGAGCAGTTTCACCGTCGCTATAGAAAGGTGTCTCGCCGGACTGGACGAACTTTAATCATCGGACACCATTAACGCCGGAGAGACAGAGTCGCCAGGTTGCAAAGCTCCCGGGCCTGAGGGTCTTTCACGCCGGAGAGAAGGGACTTCTGGAAGTTCCCCTTCGCCATATCGCCGCTGGACATCCATCCTTCGGGAACTGCTTAATCACCGGACCACCTGCGCCCGTCGGCTTCATTTCGACGAAGTACGTTACGCTCCACAGCTCTGTCTTCTTTTATTACTACTGAGCCATTTATATTTCATATAAACTGAACTGGGGTGACTAAAGTGTTGAGCCGTATAGTTGATTAAGAATTTAACGAAAATGGCTAGAATTAGAAATCTTAATCTGACCGAAAAATAAGGTAATGGTCTGATCTACCTAATTATAAATTCGCTAGGTGGACTAATTGGAGTGTATTTTCAAACGACATGAAATTAAATAAACTTTTGTGTTAAAAACACTAATCAGATACATCTTAGAATATCGATTCACAAATAATAAAAGTCGACAGAATGATTGGGATTTAAGAGATCGGACTAAAATAGTTTTTAACTATAGAATTTTAATATTCTTAGAAGGAGAATTTGGTGAAGATCGAGGTTAAAGCTTCAGTTAGAATTTATCGCGATTCGAGGTAAGTACTATGTCAACCAAATTTCATGCTTTTCCCATATAAATATATTTGTGACTAGTTATTTGAGATCATTTGAGTATATGATAGTTAACGAGATTTTACGTATCAATTATGATTGTGAATTATATATATATTCGAGATTTGAGTATTTTTATATTGGGTGATATAACATATGAATTGTTATTGGATTGAGATTTGAGATTTGAGCTATTTATGAAGTATCTTATATTTTGGACTATTTATGGTATATTTGAGTATGATGAGTTGGAGTTAATAATTTCATTATGAATAATTTGGTGGAATTTGGATTTCATATCCATTTTGATTGAGGTTATGATATTGGAACTTTGAGATTGAATTGCGATTTTGAGTACTCGGAGAAATGTGGATTTGGTGAGTGGTAATGGCTATAAGTCTAATTCCACCAGGGATCTCCCAAAAGTGGAGCATCCCAGCTTAATTGTAGTAGTCGGTAGAAAAATCCCGACTACTCGGACTTTTTACTACCCGGAGAGCTTGGAATCTCTTTTAGGGGGTGTGCACACTTAAGGTAGGAGTTCGGCTTCCATCGGATTTGATTGAGTTTAGATGATTGGATTACATTGGATTTAATTGGACTTGGATTCCATTGGACTTGAGATGATTTGGATTATTTGGTTGGACTTGATTGAGATAAATTGATATACATACTATTGGATTATTTGAATGAGTTATATTTGTTTGGATTGGATTGAATTTGATGTGGTTGAGATTATTAAATTATTTGTAGATTTCAAAGTAATACTTTTTAATTGGATTTGATATGGTTATGTTGAATATTCATTATGAGTATTTGGAAGTATTTTGAGACGAATATTTGGGTTTTACATATGATTTATGTTTTGGAATATATTTACGAGAATTTTGGTGGTTTATGTATATTGACCTTTTAGAATTATTATAATTTGGAAATATGTACCTATATTTGGAATATCATTATTTTACATGTGATTTTGTGACGAGAAGTTTGTATAAAATGTTTTATGAGGTTTCCTCCCAAATGTTTTCACAAAATGATATATATGTATCAAACATGATTATTTTACAGGGTTGGGTGAGCCTTACTTAGCATTTCCAGCTAATTTTTGTTTCTTTGTATTTTTCTTTCTGTACTTTATTTGTGCAGGAATTGAGGATCATATTGAAGTTGATTTCGAGAGCTTCCGCTAGAACACATAGACTAAAGTGATCGAGTAATTTATTTTAGTTTTAATTTTAAAGAATTGTAGTTGAACAATTAAATATGGAAAATTTTAATTTGTTGGTGGTGGATAGCCTGTGCACCCGGTTATGTGAGAGCCGAGTGTGGCGGTAACGCCCCAGTTTCCCTTTGAATTTTCCGCTGCATAATTCTGATAAATCATTATTTAAATGTATTTTTGGGTGGGAAATTTGGGGGTGTTACAGTTCAACCTCTGGCGGTGGTTCAGGAGGAGGCCGGATCATCGCTATGATTGTTAACGCGGAGTGGATCGAAGCATCAACCAATCGGAGTCGATTCCTCTTGCCCCGCCTCCCATCGTCGTGCTCTCTTCCCAGCCATCTACGACAGAGCATCTACCCTTCTCGATTAGCCCTCTTGTCCGTCACTGCTCTCCTGCCATCACCTTGTTCTTGATTGGTGGCTTGGAAGCCGCCCTCATCGATTGGTAATTGAGTCCGCACACAACCTACCCGGTTTGCACCATTAGCGATGTTCGGAAACTTGCTGCGCCGTTGAAATCTGCTCCTAGATCACTTGTTGCTACAAGAAGGAAAGCCGAACTAGGTGACTGCCGTCACCGCCGAAAGAAACACCTAGGGATTAACCCTAGAGAGGGCCGCTCAGAGCTACGGAGTATTGCCTGCTAAAGAAGAAATTTTGAAAGGGCCATTGTTTCTTGTTAAAAAATCATAATTAAATATACTTATCCAATAAAATTAAAAAATTATGAAAAATAGGTACAATAATATATTACAATAATTTCATTCAATTCCACCAAACATATAACTCCAATTTTATTTATTTTGATTATTATTAAACAATTTAAAAAGTGAAAAAGTCAACTGATAAAGTGATGAATTGGTGAAATAGAAGATCCAAACTTTATTTAACTAATAAATTAATTAACTTTATAAGAGGAAATCGACACCAATAAATTACAAAAATGATCTTTGTACTCACTCTTATACCCACTTTTGTACCCACATATGTTTGTGAAGATTTTTGTTGTTGTCTGTGAAACTCGATTCACAGACAATATTTTGCACAAACAAAATATTGTCTGTGAACCGGGTTCATAAAAAACCCTCATAAACATGATGGTGGGTATAAGAGTCCGTAAAAAGTCAAAGTCCAAATATGATGAATAAAGGCCTCACCGTGTTCAAACTTCAAATATGACACATGTGAAGAAGTTGGGTCAATGGGTTGGCAATCCTTGAAGACAAAAAGAGGTCGCAGCGTGTTCAAATATTCAACGGCTTGTTCCAAAGTCCAATACCGCTGCAGTGCCGGAAATAATGTCATACTCCTTAATATAGTAAGCTGTATTACGGAGTATTTCTTAAATTTCTTCCACTTCTTCCATTCTTTTCTTTCCTAGCTTCAATTTCAATTTTCTCTAAGCTTGGGTGCTTCTAAGATAGCACCAAATCTTCATCCCAAATCCAAATTCAAGAACCCACCTGGATGAAGAACCGAAGAGGTATGTTGGATTCTATTTTTCTGCTTTTTTTGCCGCCAATGGTTCAAAAGCTGCAATCTTTTGTAGAGAGATGATACCAGAAGACGCTTCTTGATGATCTTTGGTAATTGTTGAAGGTGACTGAGGATTATTTAGCAAAACTTGTTTTTAGGTTCTATGTGTTCGATTCCTGGAGTTATCTATCTCACTATTACAGTTCTACATCGAAATCTTAAGAGGGTGAAATGAGTTTTTAGCCCTTACATTGAATTAGCTAGTGAATTGGATTCTGTTTTTTAGAACGGTTCAATCTGAGCCCAAAAGAGAAGCACACTTTGAGCTGGAAATTTTTATTTTTTGTTTGAAAAAATTGCCAAACTGTTAAGTTGTACTACGTAGATGATGATGGTGGGGTCTGATACTTAATGTAGCCTTCAAAAATTAATGGTGGTCGGTATGTGATGTAGGAATGTCAATAAGTTAGGCGTATTGTGTGTCTTTTTCTAGAGTAAATATTGATATTTATGAATTTCTTCTTGCTGATTGGGAAAGAATGGTGTACCCCACACCCCCTCCTTAGGGTAGTGAAGGCTAATGTAGATTGTGTAATTTCATAGGTTAGGAATGATCAAAGTAAGCGTGTTCCCTTGTTTTTCCATCTACTAAGGGACATTTGTGTGTCTTTGTCAAGGCCATTTAGCATATACGGACAATTAAGCTTTTTTTTTTTAGAATGACAATTAAGCTATTAATAACCAATACGTAGTACTTTACAAAGAAAACTTTTAAGAAACATTATTACACTTGATTGTAAACGAAACGGAGCTAAAAAGTTTTTTGTACTGTAACTCTTATTTTCTCCTGGAAATATAGGAAGTGTGAAAAGCAAGACTACGTCTGCCACCACAATCATTTTAGATCTTCATTGTCAAAGTTGTTATCTTTTTTAAAACCTTTATTGCTAACTCGTTTTCACACTATTTGGTTTAAGTGCATGTCTTCGAACCTATGTTGCACGGAAACGCAAAAATCGGAAGGAAACGGGAAACGAGAAACGTCAATTTTTGCTCAAAAGAGACTTATTTGAAGAGTTTCCGAGAGTTTCCGAAACGGGAAACGTACTCTTTCCCGAGAATTTCCGTGCTACATAGCTTCGAACTCGTTTGGTAAGAGTTTATGGGTGATATTTCTGAAAGGGAAATGCAATTGTTTTTTTACTACCAAACAGGTTTAGAAAGAAGTCTTGGGTCCAGCTGTGATGTACCTCAAATCTTGAATTTTTCTTGTCGATATTCAAAAGAAGTAAATTTAATATAAATTACTTCAAATAGGACTAAAACTATGAAAAAATCTCAAAATAGGACTTGCTATGTTTTTTTATTCCAAAATAGGACCATATCGGTCCTTTTGGAAACATACCTATTTCTTCATTTCATTCTTACCCCTCCTTTAAATATGAGTAAAACATAGTCAGAAGTCATAATTAAATGTTTAATTCATAATATATTCGAAAAAATTTCAATAATTCGTAGAAAAATAATAAAAAAATTAACAAAATTTTTATAAATAAAAAATAAAAAAAAATTTGATTTTTTTTTAAATTAATAAAAAATAGTAAAACTCCATAAAAAAAAAATATGGATGCATTTCCCACCGCCTGTACTACCTTCCTGCACCACCACCTCCGATCGGTATAAAAAATGCCACTTTTTTTTTTAAATTCCAAAAATATGGCATATTACTCTACGAGAATGCCAACATTTTCATTCTGCCAACTTGAATCCTTTTGACTTCTGCCAAAAATATGGCATTCGTAATATTTTTGGCATTTCCCCCCCGGTGACAGGAGGTGGTGGTACTGCCTCCAGCATTGAAATTGGTCTTACCATGTAAATACTCAATATCTTTATTGCATAATAGTCCTTACAATTTTCTTCATGTTTGAACAGACTTGAAATAAAAACAACAGGTTGATTGAAGATAGCCCTCAACTCTTTGAATAATGAAGAGAGAGGTCTCATTCATTCCCTTATTCATTCTTATTATAAGTTTACTATTCCCAAATACATCTAATGGAGCTTCAAGATCTCAACAAGTTAAACTCATTTGTGAAAAACAAAGGGAGCACAACACGACGGCTTTCGTGCCAAACTTTGTTCATGTCATGGAAACCATAAGTGACCAAATGCGAACCCGTGGGTGGGGACTTTCCATAACAGGCGCGGGACCAGATGAAAACTATGGACTAGCTCAATGCTACGGAGACCTCTCTTTACTTGATTGTGCTTTGTGCTATGCAGAAGCTCGTACATTGCTCCCCAGCTGCTTTCCTGCCAATGGTGGGACAATTTATCTCGATGGTTGCTTCATGCGGTCAGAGAATTATACCTTTTTTAAAGAGTATGTGGGACCTAACGATGCACGGGTTTGTGGAAACAAAACCACTAGAAAAGGTTCCTCTTTCCAGCAAACGGCTAGGAAGGCCGTGATGCAAGTGGTTTTGGATGCACCTAAGAGTAATGGCTCTGGGAGAGGTGAACTGCCAGTGCCAGGGAGATTGAACGAGTCCGTTTATGTTTTGGCGGATTGTTGGAAGACTCTGAATGCCAGCTCGTGTAGGGCGTGTTTGGAGAGCGCTTCTCGGTCCATGTTAGGGTGCTTGCCTCTGCCAGAGGGTCGTGCGTTGTACACAGGTTGCTTCATGAGATACTCCGACACTAACTTTCTTAATCCTGTTCCAAGTAATGGCAGCTCATCAAGAGGTAATCATCATCAGTTGTCTTGATTTTGAATATAGTTTGCAGGTTTAAATTATACTAAACCCAACAACATATAATGTAAGATCCCTAGTATAATTTTGAGTTGAATATAAAATTCAACATGCAATACTTTGAGCTACTTTTCCTATAAGGTTAAGTTTTTTTTATTATGAAACTCCAAACCTTGATATGGTATGAAGCCATTTATGCTAAAACAAGTAATTAATAATGAGACTCAAATAGAGCTCTAGGATTTCAAGTCAAGTCACCGTACGCGAGTGACATATATACAACCCAACAAAAAAGGTCTTGAACTGTTTTTTTATTAACTGTTGAGTTGGAATGAAATTCGAAGAGTTTCTACGTCAAAATATGGGCAATAAGATAACAGTGGCTCATCAAGATGCAACATCATTAGCGGCCTTGATGTTGAGAAGGATTTAGTTAAATTCTGAACAAGTTCAACAACAAATAAGGGTTGTAGTATGAGTCTCAACCATAATTTCAATATGTCTGGACAGTCTGGTAGATTAGGAAATTACTCTTCTTAAATGATGGGTGATACGTTAAGAACACTACTGTAATCTAGGTCTTTGTTTTTCAAAGTAAATTGCTCTCGAAACTGGTCTGATTTTGGTTGACATAATGATTTCTTTGCAGCAAGTGTAGCAGTCATCATAATTGCCTCTGTTAGTTCTGTGGTTGTGTTGGTGGTGGGATCACTCATTGCTATTTATTTCCTGAAGCAGAGAAGGATAGATAAGAAGAGGAAAGGTAATAACCGGATTATTTTTGTTCTTTATTGTGTATTATGGAGCCCAATACATGGCATAATGTTTTTTTTAAGGAAACCTTTTGGGTAAGTGTTAATTTTGCTAAAACCACTGTTTTAGCTTAGTTTGCTACTGACTTATCCAATATGTATTTGAATTATCTTTTCTTGATGAATAAAAAAGTAATATGTAAAATATATCGTAAAGTTTTTAATCATTTAATTCATTACAACCAAAAAACCTTATTCAATGAATTGGTTCTACAAGGGCAATATAATACGTTAATGAAATGTAGCAAATCTGGCTGTTAAGTAGAAAAAACATTCTACAGACGGACACGTAGTCTTCGAATTATTATTTAAAATGAAAAAATTTTATTCTCAAACTCTCCAGGTTCAAATAATGTTGAGAAATTAGTAAAAATCCTTCATGACAGCAGCTTGAATTTCAAATATTCCACACTTGAAAAAGCAACTGGATGTTTTTCTGAAGCCAATAAGCTTGGGCAAGGTGGATTTGGTACAGTTTACAAGGTTCGATTCAGAAATTCTCATCTGATACTTGAAGTGGTCGATCACACACACATATGTAAGTATAACCAAGCTCCACATTCTAATAATTAATACCAATGCAGGGAGTTCTGGCAGATGGAAGAGAGGTTGCTGTCAAAAGACTCTTCTTCAACAACAAGCACAGGGTAGCAGATTTTTACAATGAAGTCAATATTATTAGCAGTGTTCAACACAAGAACTTGGTCAGGTTGTTGGGCTGCAGTTGTTCTGGTCCTGAAAGCCTTCTAGTTTATGAGTATTTGCCCAATCAGAGTCTTGATCAATTCATTTTCGGTTAGTTTCTGCATTTTGCTTCAACATTAATGTAGCTTTGTGACAAACTCCAATAACCAATGTTTGTCTGCTTCTTATATTATGTTGACTTTTTAAAACAATTTCTAAGTTTAAATATGTTACCAAAGTACATTATGTTTATATGAGCAACCCAATTTTTATAAGCTTAAAGACGAGGACATGGATTTCAAGTTTGTTTGCTTGAACAAGTCATCATTTTATGGGACACATAATGTCATCGTAAATCCACAAAAAGAAAACTAACACATAAGGCCTTGGATACTCTTCTATTTTGTTGACCTTGGTTCCCAACCCCCTAGTCTTTTTCATAATTCATAGGAGTTTTATCAACCTGATGACTTGTTAGAGCAGACCAAAAATGAGATCTGTATGATCTTTTTAAATCTAAGTTGGATCTATTTCTTGTTTGAACTAATTGGCTCTGATACTACTTGGAGCTCCATTCCAAAATGTCAACATTATACAAGTAGTTGCCCAACATTATATCTAGCTGGTGTATATGGCATTTCATTCTGCAAGTTTTTTTCAACGATTGTAACTATAAAATTATCCCTCCGCCCCACTCAACTTTGCCAACTTTTCGTTTTTGTTTTCCCCCAAAAACTTTGCCACTTTCCTTTTAAAGCAATGAATTTGTGCTTCTACTTGTTTCTCTCTCCTCTACACAAACCTCAACCACACAACTCTTACTTTCTTACCTAATTGAAGTTGGCAAAGTCCACCGGGACGGAGTTAATATTATTATTTCTCTTTCAAACATAGAGTTGTTGATGGTGTGACACAAATATTTACAGATCCCATCAAAGATAAAACATTAAACTGGGAGAGGAGGTTTGAAATAATTATAGGGACTGCAGAAGGCTTGGTCTACCTCCATGAAAACTCAAACAATCGAATTATTCACAGAGATATAAAAGCCAGCAACATCTTACTCGACTCGAGGCTTCGTGCAAAAATTGCCGATTTTGGATTGGCAAGAGCTTTTGAGGAAGACAAAAGTCACATAAGCACTGCAATAGCAGGAACTCTGTAAGTAATCACGGGAAAATAACGTCTAGTATAAATTTGATGTCTTGGATATGATTGCATCTCTTGTATATACAATGGTGTAGGGGATATATGGCTCCTGAGTATCTTGCCCATGGACAGTTGTCGGAAAAAGCAGATGTTTACAGCTTTGGTATAGTTGTACTGGAAATAGTTACTGGGAGACAGAATAACAGGAGCAAAGCGGCTGAATACACAGACAGTTTGGTGAATATAGTATGTTTGAAAGCCACTTATCTGTTACTCCGTATTTTTTTCTTTTTTAAGTACTAGGCTCAGTTTGTTTCTGGATATTTTTCTATGTTTGGCATCGAAAAGTATTTTTTGAATGGAATGTAGTTTCCCTGATTCTCCATATTTTTGTGAAAATGACTTTATCTCTTCATAAGAGGGAGTTATTTTTTGAAATAGGAGTAAGACATGAGTCGTATGCATAAATAGGAGTATCCTTGTTTTTAATAAAAAGAAGGTCCCATTCAGTTTTTGAAAAGCACACAATTGGTTAGTTAAATTTTCGGGGATAGTTGACTTTGCACCCCATTTAAAAAAAAATTGAATTTCCACCGCATTATATAACATTTTGTGAAGAAAAATTTCTGAAATGAGGTGCAAAATCATTTTTTTTAAATGGGGTGCAAAGTCCAATATCACACAAAAAGTGAGGTGCGAAGTCAAAATTTCCCTAAATTTTTTAGAAGTGAGCCTTGGGGGGTGTTTGGATTTGCTTCTTAAAATTGTTTCCACTCCTTTAAGGAGTAGAAGGGATATTGGAGTGTTTGGGTGAAAGTGCAGAAGTACTCTAGGGTGCTCCAAAATTCTCCTGAAAGCAGTTTGTTAGAAGTTGAGGGAGATCAGTTTTTGAAAAACTGATTCTGATTCTATTTCTGCTTTTAAAAAAGAAGCAGAAGCAGAATCAATCCCAAAGACGCCTTAATTTCAACAATAACAGTAATGATCCTTTTTGGAGAAATGTGTCATGTTTTAGTATAAACTTGTTTCCTTTTCTTGAAAGATGACGGAATTGTGAGATGCACATAGTTGTTTCCTTTCCCTTGAATTCTCACCCACACAATTTTGACTTTCTAAAGAACCGTACATATAACAAATGGGCATAACTTTTCGGGATGAAAGAAGTATTAAAAAAACATGAACTTATTTTCCAAGAACATATTATTTTCCTTGGTCTCATGACATCAAATGTAGCTCTAGTTTAGTTTTCCAGGTCTTGCTTTCATTCTTAGTTCATTGACAAAACACCATCATTTAATAGGTGTGGTCGCATTTTCAACAAAGGATGGTGGAGAAGCTATTTGATCCAAACCTAATGCTGCATAACTACCATAACATTGATGTTGAGAATGAAGTCCAGAGAGTGGTCCATATAGGGCTGTTGTGCACCCAAGAGGCACCATCGCTCCGGCCATCCATGTCAAGGGCACTACAAATGCTAGCTAAGAAGGAGGAATTGCCGCCCCCTACAAACCCTCCCTTCATGAACGAGAAAACAATGGAGCTAAATGATTGTTGGGATAACCCATCTTTTCAGCTCAAAGAGAGCGAGTCTACTTCAATTGCCAGTATTTCTCAAAGCTCTTTTCACCCCAGATAAGAGGAAATATGAATGAAGTATCAAAAATATTTTTTGTAGACACATTCTTGGACATTGTAATTGGGTGGAAATATGGTTGCATGAGCAGTTCGTACTTCATAGTTAACACTTACATATATAGAGAAAAGAAATTTATATATAATAGGGAGTATCGGGAGTTTACACAGGATGCTGAAATCACTTTTTCGGCCCATTGTAGGAATGAAAAAGTTTTGTAATGTGCATTGGTCAAATGACCTTCAATAGAGGTTTTGTTGAACACTGGATTAGGTTTGACACCTTGTAGTTGTGTGAACTTCACGAAGGCGATGAAAGTGACCTTTTCATGAACACAATTAAAATGATTTTCTCTTCCAAATTTTAGGGTAGGTTTCTTCACGTTTCAATATCCGCGATCGAATTTACAATTTTGGATTTTTTCTCTTCTAGATTTTAGGGTAGGGATGGACTCGGGCAGGGCGGCCCGGCCCGGAACCGGCCCGGCCCGGCCTGGAACCGGCCCGGCCCGGCCCGGCCTGGAACCGGCCCGGCCCGGCCCGGCCTGGAACCGGCCCGGCCCGGTTACTGTTTGAACCGGCCCGGCCCGGGAACCGGCCCGGGGGGCGGTTCGGGTCGGCCCGGCCCGGTTACTGTGCGGTTCGGGCCCGGGCCCTAGGATTGGCGAACCGGCCCGCCCGGTTCGGGCCAAATTAATTTTTTCTTTTTGAATTTTTTTAAGTTTTTGGGTTGGGCTGGGTATATTGGGCCATTTGAGGTGGTTTGGGGGGGTTTGGGGTTGAAGGGGGAGGGTTGGGGGTTAATTAGGAAAAACCAAAAAAAAAAAAAAGAACTGAGGCCCGGCCCGGCCCGGCCCGGACTGGACCCGAGATTACCCGGGCCGGTTCCGGGCCTCCCATTCCTGAACCGAGGCCCGGCCGGGCCCAGGCCCGAACCGGGCCCGAACCGGAACCGGTCCACCCATATTTTAGGGTGGGTTTCTTCACGTTTCGATATCACTTCTTCACCGCTGGAGTGGTTTTGGCCCATAACTCAATTTGGTGATGATTATATATGCAAATTACATGCGGATTGGGCCTTGCCACCTTGAGAAGAACCTACACCAACCATTTTGAGATGCTGAAAACACCTTTTGATCCATTTTAGGAACTAATTCTTGCTTGATGTAATGTTTATTTTCTATACCTAATTTCCACACAACTTCTTCTCTGCAGACTCTAGGTGCAGCCGACGGTGGCGATTCTGCTCCTCCTGGTACTGCTTCCGCCGGTGCTTTTGTTGTTATTACTTCCCTGCCTCCACCAGTAATGTTGATGCCACTATATCCTCTGTGTTTGGTTTTGTGCCCCTCTACTTCGATTCGATTGCCTCTGCAATGGTCTTCGTTTGCTAGGGTTTTCATGCGATAATGGGTGGCCCAGTTCCGTTCTGACCGGCTTGGGAACCGGCCCGGACCGCCACTGTGCGGAATCGGACCAGCCTGGTGAACCGGGACCAGTTCCAGACCTAAGACCGGCCCGAGGTGTTAGGGCGGGGCGGTTTCGGGCTGCACTTCCTTTGGAACCGGCCTGGTTGGGGCCTATTTTTTTATATTCATTTTTTTGGGTGGTAGGCGGGTTAAGCTGGGTGTTTTGGGGGGGGGGGTTTGGGGGGTGGGGGTGGGTGGGGGGTTAATTAGAAAAGCAAAAAAAATATGAACCAGTCCGAGACATGGTGGAATCCTTGGCCGGTTCCGGGCCTATAGCCACACACAAAAAGCCCAGTTTGGACTGGCCCAGCCCGGAACCGGTCCATGCCTACATGCGAGAATCAAGATTAGCTAAGGGCGGCGGTTTATGACGACAACTGTAGCTGGAGGACTGGGTGTGGGGTAAAGCATTGTATGCGTTGGAATTAAAATGGGCAGTGGTGGTAGCATGTGGCTGGGAAGGCTTGCTGGACATGTGGCCTGTGGTGGTGGTTATTGGCGGTCACTATTGACCGGGTAACTATAATTGATCATACCGAGTAACTATAACTAATCAGATCGAGTAACTGTAACTGATCTTATCAGGTAACTGTAGTTAGTCAAGTCAGGTAACTGTTGTTGATTAGATCAACTAACTGTAACTGGTCGAGTAAGGTAATTGTATCTGATCGAGTTAGATAACTGTAACCAACCGGACCAATAATTGTAACTGTTCGAATGAGATATTTTAACTAGGGGGATTGTAAAAGTCATATAGGTCTATTTTTTTTTTTAAAAAAAAAAGAATTACAACAAGTCTCATTTTTGTTCATAAATTTCCATTTAATAATATCAATGTCAAAACCTATCAATATTTTTGCGGGTGGACAGTCGGAAACTGAACAACGGGAAAACACACCAAGAGCACAAATTATATCGTGGGATCGGCCCACCATGAGCATGGTGTGCCGATCCCAAAACAATACAGTTTTATGCTTCCTGTAAAAAAAATAACCAATCGCCGGATCCCTTCATCTCCTTCGTTGTTTCAAGTGAAAATTGTTTGACGCATGTCATCGATCTCTCACTGTAGAAATTGATATGGGACTGGTAAAATCTTAATCCCCCATTGAGGAAACTACAGATTGTCATCCAATATCCAATCCAAAAGAAGAAAAAAAACGTTGTCAATCAATCTCTCGTAAGAATGAAATCCTTAGGCGATCGCAGATCAGTAGCAGCGAAGCAAACATCTGTTGCCATGGAAACTCGCATCATCCCCTGCGGACTGAAGTAAATCATCTGCGATATGCGGCTATCCCTTATTTCTGAAGTTGCAGAAGCCGTATTTCCGTATCACTCTCAGGACCATACAGAATTCTAGTAGTAGATGATGATGAAAACATCTTCGACCTAGCACATGCCGCCGCCGCAAAAGGCTTCCACTTCCCCAAAGCTTGTTTGAGAGCCATTACCATTAGTTTTGTTTTGTGAGTAGTGAAGGTTATACCCTGCGATTCTAGTACCACTAATCGAAAGAGAGAAGGCGGCGAGAAGCTATAGCGCTATACCACAGGAAAAGAGAATGCGTCGTTCCAGGAAAAGCAAAGACGGTGAAGAACGAAGAAAGACGATGATAGTAACCCTTCAAGATTGGTGAAGAAATAATGGGAATACAAGGTCGGGTCTTTTTGGATTTTTTTTCTTTTTTTAGTAAATTTAGATTTGTTTCTATGTTTGGCAATTGGCATGGGAAAGCATTTTCTGAATGTAATGTAGTTTCCATGATTGTACATATTTTTGTGAATGGTCATTTTACAAGTTTAGGGTGCTTGGATATAGACATATAGTAGTACTTTTTAAAACTTGATCCTCCTCCGGATAGTCGAAGTACATGTTAACGTGTTTGGATGAAAGTGGGGAAGTATTTTTGAAACTCCAAAACACTTTAAGTTAGAGATAATTTTCTCATAAAGTGACATAGGTTAGAAATGCAAAAGGTTCTCAATGGGTCCAAAACACTACATAGGTTAGAAATGCAAAAGTAGATTTAGATGTTTAAATTCTTTAAATAGTACTCGGTACTAACTCCGTCCAGTTTAAAGGTTCTCATATCAAAATGACACGATTATTTAGACAATAATTAAATATGCGAATTTGAATATATTTTGAGAAATAATTTTGATGAGTATATAATATAATGAGTTATTAATGATAATTGTAATTTTATAAATGTATTATTTTTCATATTTGATGATTAAATTGTTATTTAAGAGTGTTAATTGTTATTTAAGAGTGTTAATTGTTTCCTAAAATAGAAAATGAGAACCTAAGTGGGATGTCCAATAGAGGAAAGTGGGAACATTTAAATGGGACGATTGGAGTAGTTATTTTTCATGCTTGGACAAGAATACCCCTTGAGGTTGGGCCAACCACCACAGTCGGCTACTGCAACTTTGATACCCCTTTAGGCCATTCATGAAAATACCGTTAAGCATCTCATTGTCAGTGTTCTGGTGGGGGGCTACTACCCGTTCGAATTTCTCCCTATACTCCATAACTGACCCAGTCTGCTTCACACTAAGCATCGGTCCATATGGGTTTTGAACCATCTCTGGTTGGAACCGTCGAATAACTGCGTCCTAGAAATTTTCCCAAGTACGAGCCCTAGTCCGTTCTTCCCACCATTGGAACCAATTTAAAGCCTTGTCCAGGCCCGGTCCTGACATTTTTTGGGCCCGGGGCAATACAAATAGAATAGGTCTCGGGGATACCGTGTAAATATTTATTACTTATAATAAATTTTTGTTATAAAAATATATAGTAAAGTTAAACAATTTTGTCATCCAAATACGAGTATAACACATCAAAGAAATCAATAAATTAAAGCAGTTAATTAGAAAAAAAATTATTGAATTATTTTATATGTGACATTTGAGGATACAATATACCTAAACCGACATAATGAAACTCAACTATTAGTTGCAATAAATAATTTTGAATTAGGTAAACAAGTGAAAGATATATATATTGTGCATATACCAAGTAACTTTTTTTATATTTTAAAATGAACTGCAAGTTTCTAAATTAAATCATGAATACTATAGTTCAATCTTTCACTAAAATAAAATAATTAGAGAAAATTAGTGAAATACTATCAACGAATCATGATGAGTATAAATGAGAGAAGTAGATCAAAAGAACATTTATGCACTAAACCATAATGAATCAAAAGAAATGGTGAAGTACGATTTCAATGAATTCTAGTGTGGACGTTTTTAAAATGAATTGAAAGTATATAAAAAAATTATATAGATTTTATAACTCTGATTTTATTTTTTATTTTTTATAGATTTTTATTTATATATAATTAATATTAATATATATCCATATACACATAATTATGAAATTTATGGGCCCTAGTGGAGCAATGGGCCCTGGGCGCATGCCCCTTTGCCCATGCCCCTTTGCCCATGCCCCAGGACCGGCTCTGGCCTTGTCCTCCATAGCCACCACCACCATTTTGATTTTCACATTGTCTTTAACTTGATTCAACCGGAAAAATCTTTCTACCTTAATTATCCACCCATGTGCATCCTCCCCGTTAAAAACAGGGAAATCAACCTTCCTGCCCGTGCGAGCATAACATCGGTCTACAGCACCAGTTTCTGGAGCACAAGTTTCCGGAGTATGGGATGAAGCATGAAAACTGTTTTAATTCCCTGTGGTATGCGACGAGTTCACACTTTCTTCCCGGCGATGTTGCTTAGACACCCGCGATCGACCACGCTTCCCCTGGCGATTACTGTGTAACATCATATTCCTCAGTTCGTCCACCGCTGCGTGCAGACCCAGCAGTTCGTCCACGGTGGTTTTCACTTCCGCTAGGGTTCGTTCGATGCTTTCTACATGTTGCTCCAT